TAAGACGTCCCTGCAGCGCACCCCGCACACCCGCGCCTTCCCGCTGGCCGGGTCCCTGGTCTTCAGCAGACGCAGCACTTCAGCGTAATTGGCGGTGGCAGCGCCGTACCTGGCAGCGGTGAGGGCGATGGCGAGGTTCATCCGTGCGTCGTTGTGCTGTCCTGCAGCGGGGACGGGAACCAGGGGAAGGACACCAGTCACCTCCAGCCACGGAGTTGTGGTATGGAAGTGTGTCAGAACCGATCTGTCACATCTGTCCCTGTCACATCGAATAGGCGTGATGGCTGCTCGCGTCTAACCCCAGTTATTTAAAGCTACATCCCCACCGCTGCAGCGGCAGCACGGCGCCCGCGCCCGGCTGCGCTCCCCGCGTCCCAGGCGCCGCAACGTCCCAAACCCTTCACACACGATGGAACCCAGGATTAGTGCTCGTTCTCCTCCAATTTATGAGCAGACAGATCCCTTTTTTCTTTCCTTTTTCCCCGTGAAATCACGCTGTAATCCTGTAACTGTATCTGAGTGTTCACCTGACAGCCCAGCCAGTACTAACCAGCAATTCCCACTGACAAACGCACCACGCAACATCCAACAGCCTTGCAGAGACTGTGCCAAATTATCAGCTTTCTAAAACTGTTTTTTTTTTTCTTTTATATGCATTTTAACCTCCCAACATACAACATAAAAGCATCGAAAAAGAGAAATAAGCAGACAAGAATTAATGAAGGATTCTTACATATATCATTCAAGATTTATTACTGAAATTCCCTCCTTAAAAAAAAAAACAAACCAACAAAAAACAAGAGAGAGGCGAAGGGACCATGAGGGGAAGATGATTAATTACTTTGAAATACTGGTTTCACCTGAGACTTTTCCTATTTATTATTGCCACTGAAGTTAAAATCCTGGATGCTGGCTGGAAAGAATTACTATACATTGAAGGGGCCAGGCTCTGTGTGTCCTGAATAATTAATTTCTGAAAGGGCTAAACTTCCTGAGGTACGCTTCACTTCCCCACCTGTTTGGACCACTTCTATCGAGGATAATACTGATAACATGATAAATTCATAATAGATAGTGTAGTTGATTTATGTTGCCAGCATTCCCAACATTTAGTACAAATGGTTTATGTAAAGTTTCTGATTCTGTCTGTGCAATCTCGAAACCGCCGCACAAATAATGTGTTCCTCACTAAAAGGGCAAAGTTATAAAGATGGGATCAATGGCCTCAAAGGTGCCACCTCCCCTCCCCAAACTTCTCATGCTAAGGCAGCCGAGCCGATACAGGGCAATCAGTCTTCAACCACACGGAAAAAATATATATATATAAAAAAAAAGTTATACTGAAACAGCAACATGATAAAGCACCGATGAAGAAACAAACAGTAACTCCAGTTCAACTGAGCAAACAATGCCCAGAATGAACTGCAAAAAAGAGCAGCAGAACAACCGAGCAGGATGTCAGGAAAAGTTGGGGACGCTCCATCACACAGGACGCAGACGACGACGCGGCATCTGCCAGGAGCGGTGGGCAAGCCGTTAAAGAAATGCAGCAGCATCTACGCCACCACAGTGCCAGGGAACGGATGAAATGCCCTCACTCACCAGCTCTGGCTCAAACCTTGATATCTTAACACAGGGCTGGGAGAATGTTCATCTCGTATGTAGAGGGAGCACGAGACAGAAAAAAGACAAAGAGCGGCGACAAGCTGCGTGACAGAAGCTGCTTCTCAGCGCAGCAGAGCACAGTCTGCACTCCCAGGGAATCCAGAACACGCTCCCTCTAGCCCGAATCGAAGGCTTTCAGAAGGGCAGTGGCATGGAGACACCCCTCTTTAGTGGGATGCTTGATTTGGGGACCACCTGACCCACGGGAAACTGCAAGTCCTGGGTTTATACAGGACAAGAAACCCAGCAGAGAACAGAAACATCACCCTCAAACAAGTGCTGTCTGTCTGTGCAAGAACAAAACCCCGCAGCACCCGTTTCCGCGCGGCAGCATTTGCTCTTTTACTGCAGAAGGGCCCCGGGGCCAAGAGGGTTTCTTTCCTTAGTCACTTTTTGACCCTCCATCAATTTGTTTTTGCCATCAGCACACAAGGTGGCACCCGGCACAAAGTGCTTTTCTGCCTGACACAGGGTGTGGACTCATCACACAAAAGCAGCACAATTTACGCCGTCAGCCAATATTAGCTCTGGTTCAGGGGAAGTCTTACTGTTTATATTTTGCAAGCTTGCCTCTTCCCAGCTTTGTGAATTATTTGTCCAGACCAAGAGCAATCCAGAGAAGCCAATCAGCAGAATAAATAACGTGGAAACAGGTGTAATTTCTAAAAAGACAAACATTTAAGTAACAATTGTTTATTGAGCCCCAAATCCTCAGCATTTTGTTGAAGCTCATAATGTCAGAGTGAGCTAAGGACACGCTCAGTGCACTTCAGGATTTGGACATTTTCATGCTTTCTCTGAAACTCTCATCCATCTTCCCCCTCATCATTATTCTGATGCGAGAAACCCCTTGTTATTTACTAAATTCTCAGCTGTCCAAAAGGAACTCTGAGTGCCAATGTAACACGTTTGCGGGAAGAGGACTGAGAAATAACCAGTTTCTGATTAACTACACATCTAGAAAAACCCACTGGCTTCAGACTGACGTGATCCACAGCACGGAGTCCTAGAGTATTTCAGAGTATAAACAGCAGAGATCTGTAGAGGACTAGAGTTGAAAGAAATGAAGAGCGACTTCCCAGCACAGAAATTTATCATCTGTGAAGAATAAATAATACTGCAACAGTTTAGTAGAGATGAGGTCACAGTGCAATGGGTTTTATACTCAGGAACAGCTGGTTTTTTGTTGGGTTTTTTTAAGCCCTCCAACTCACACGTGCACATTTTCCCCCAGACAATTACATTAAGATCCTGCACTTTATATGCAATTATCTTTTTTTCTTGATGTTTGAAGTGTTCCTCCATACACACCCTGCATTATAAAGGTACCGTGGCCAGGATCAGTCCTTACTACAGCACCATCCACAGCTGACAAAGCAGATTAAAGTAAAAGTAGCTATTTACACGTGTGCTGATTTGGAATCTGGAATGATTATTATTTCAAAGAGATTGGTACATGTCCTGGTACTCAGGTGATCCTGACCACTCTAGGGAGAAGCGGAAGGATAGTGAAGCAAAGATTCTGCACCTCAACCTGTTTGACTTTTCAGTTCAACACCATTCTCCCAGGTAAGACTCCGAGACCTCCAAACCCAGGATGAAAGCCTCCATGCTTCACTTCCTCCAGAACAAAAGCTTTCTTGACACAAGCACTATTACCACGTTCAGAAGATGCCCAGGAAACCCAAGGCATAAAGGAAAGGCAACCAGATCTTCCATGGGAGGTCCTGGACTACCCACTTAAAGCAGCTCTGCATCTCCTGTCCTTCACAGTTTTGCTCCAAAGCAAAACAAAGAAAACAAACCCCTCTATGGTACCACGGTATTTTGCCAAGTGTCATTAGCCAAAAAGTTATTTAGAATCATAGAATCGTAGTGGTTGGAAAAGACCTTCAAGATCAATGACTCCAACCATAAACCAACACTGCCAATTCCACCTCTAACCCATGTCCCTCAGCACCTCGTCTGCCCATCTGTTCAATCCCACCAGGGAAGGTGACTCCACCGCCTCCCTGGGCAGCCTGGTCCAATGCCTGACTGTCCTTTGGGTGAAGAAGTTTTTCCTCAGATCCAATCTAAACCTCCCCTGGGCCAACTTGAGGCCATTTCCTCTCATCTATCCCTTGTTACCTGGGAGAAGAGACCAACCCCCACCTCTCTCCACCCTCCTTTCAAGGAGTTGTAGAGAGCAAATGTCCAAGCCCAGTTAAATTGGCATCTTTTTGCATAAATGAGCAAGCTCCTGAAGATCTCAAAACTAACCTGTAGGCAATAGAGTGAAAGGATGACATTCACCACCAACAGATGGTCACCAACCCCCTGCCCTGGAGAGGTCACTCTTGCTTCGGTCCTGTTGCTCAAGGGCTGGTTTTGAGAGCACTTGTTAGTTGTGAGCACGTCAGTTGTCAGCTGGATGCATCTCAACGGTGGTGCGAAAGGCAGCCACACCTCAGCATCTTTGGAAGAGGCATCCAAGAGCCAACTGATGGAACATGCCAAGTTTTCTTTGTAACTCTTGAAAAAAAAAAAAAAAAAAGGATGTTTAAATCCTTTAAGTTATTTCTAGCAAGAAAAACTGAAAGAATCATCCATCTCATTATTCACTATTGTCATCTGCTTGTAATATAGTAACAATGGAGTGATATTTTAATTTTTGTTGAGGGTAGTCAACCTTGCTTTTAACAAAACACTGGCTCACTTGCTTTCATTAAAGTACCACTGAATCCTTTTAAAACCCCATTATTCTTAGAAGGCACAATGCTGAAGACCTTTAGTGCGTGAAGACATTTTGTGTGTGTCCTACATCATGTTAAGACCAACAGTGATGCCATTTGGTTTATAATTTCTTTTTCTTTGTGTAATTTAGGAAAATTCTATTTTCATTCCTTAGTAGCAAATGTTGCATTTCTTCAGAGACGAACAGACAATGCTTCCGTTGGCACTAAAAAAAACTCCCCCCACGGAGTGCACATAGCGTACATTCAATGTTATTTTTATCGATGCTGAACCACAGCCAGTCATGGTAACAAAGCCCACAGACTGTAGAAATTTGTTTGTGAGTGATTCAGTAGAGTTGTGTGAAAACCAGACTGTTAATAAGGCACTAGGGTAGTTCTAGTATATTCTGTTCTGTGTCACTCTCTGGCACTTATCACTTTGACACCAATTCCTGCTTTCTCCTCTGCAACACTATTCAGTTGAAGGCAAACCACACACAGTAGCCAGGGCACTGCCTTTTTAATTATTTTTTAATTTTTTTTTTTTTAAGAAGCTGGAAGCTCTTTTAATCCTAAGAGGGCAGCTTTTGTTCATGGTAACCTTTTTACGCTAAGAACTCACACTTTGTTATTGCATATACCTGCTGCATGACAATTAATCACGTTACAACACACACGAGCATTGCAGGAATTGCCCCAAATCCACTTTGGCTCAAACTGCACCAGCACAGCTGTAATGTGTGATTTGAAAACTTCTGGCTTCAAAGAACAGGTTAGTC